ACACACTTTCAGGAAGAATCAAATTTAATTAAATGTACACCTAATAAAGATGTATAATTAAGTCTTCCAAAACACTGCGAATCACTGCAGCATGATTCAGAATTCTTGGCTGATATGGTTCATAAGTGTAGCAAGACATTCTGACCTTTAAGCGAGTACTCAACTGACCCAATTTTGAATAAAAGTCTTAAGTTTTTCTCAATAGAGCGATGTCATCATTCATATCACAAGGCAGCAGAGGACAGCAGGATGGTTTGAAAAACACTTACTATGAGGCAGGACAACTGCACAAGTAGCTAGAGGGGAAACACATGGGTTGATAAGCTGGCTCTGTTCACTTTCAGTGTGCACATGGTCTTTTTTGGTTTAACTACAGACTGTCTTCACAGCGTGGGGCAGACACAGGTCAGCATCCCACGCTAATATGTGCAAACAGAATCCATGCACAGCAGGCAGATGATGATCAAAATCCATCATATAAAAAGCACACTGAAGGTGTATGCCATTTCATCAATGTCAGTACTTTACAGGCATTCTACAATCACAACTGGATGGTAATGGGCTGGTACTTATATAGTGCTCTTTTACTCTAAATAAGCACTCAATAAGCTTTTGACTACAAGAATCATTCATCCAGTTTCACGCACATTCATACAAGAGCTTCTTTCTAAGCACCTTTGATGCACTTGTGCAATATTCACACACACAAAAACAAACACACACGCGCGCGGAGCACGTCAGGGTTCAGTATGTTGTCCAAGGATAATTTGGCATGCAGGCTGGAGTAGCTGGGCGAATCAGTCTACCAACCTTGATGCAAATTTTGTAGCACTTACGCCAATCCTGCTAACACCCAAAAAGCAAGACCCAAGCTGCAGATGGATGGTTTGTGCTAGAAAGAGGGTATAGAAAGAAACATCTTACTACTGTAAAGGTTCTAGTGTCCCCTTGCATTTTGGGGAATGCTACCCAATGCACCACTCAAAGATATAACTTTTTTGTTTTGTTCTTTTATTTATTTGTTGCAGTTTATACAGTCTACGTCTAGTTGTTGAAGAAATCATGTGTGAAGATAAAAATCAAAAATGCACTTATCTCAAGTTTTCATTCAAAATGACAAATTTTTAAGTGTTTGAATGAAAGAGAATAGCTTGAAATCTTAATGTATGGATCCCTCTAACTCCAAACAAGCAAAACAATATATAAACATACAGCTATAAGTAAAGTTTGCAAGAAGGCAATTGTTTTAGTGTTCTAAAGGCTGGGGTTTCCCATAACATTTTACATTTTTACTGTACAAAACTACATGGTGGGCCATTTATATGGATACACCGTAATAACATGGGAATGGTTGGTGATATTAAAGTCCTATTTGTGGCACATTAGTATATGTGAGGGGGCAAACTCCTCAAGATGGGTGGTGCCCATGGTGGCCATTTAGAAGTCGGCCATCTTGGATACAACTTTTGTTTTTTCAATAGGAAGAGGGCCATGTGACACATCAAACTTATTGCTAATGACACAAGAAAAACAATGATGTGTTTGGTTTCAACGTAACTTTATTTTTTCATGAGTTATTTACAAGTTTCTCTTTGTTCACAGCTATTGACATGTCGAAGAGTTTAACACGTGAGGAGCGGATCGAAATTGTGTTGATATCTGGAGCAGATTTCAATGCAAGACACCCTACGAGACCACCCATCTCCCATGCTACAGTTCAGTGTTGAATTTGCCAAAATGTGGACGCAAGAAAACTGTCACTAATGAAGAAACATCAGTGGCTGTCCTAGCTTCATTCAGCAAGAGCCCACAGCGTAGCACTCGCCGCATGTCACTGGAGAGTGGCATTAGTCGAACATGTTTTTGAAAGTAGAAGTTATTCTCTGTCTTCTGACAGAGAATAACTGTCTTCATAGTCCAAAATAGGCAGTATCAAAACTTTAGAGAATATCATTAAAATGCTGCCAGTGACTGGCATCTGGCAGGGAAAGCGATAAGATGAGTTTAACGATGCCCCCCCACTCCGCTCCCAAAGTTTTCAAATTCTGACAAGTATTCCTCAAGACACATGACCTTTCCATCACCTCCTACCAGCCGAACAAGTGTTAATCTGCAACATAATGTGACGGTCCCCAATGTTTAGAAGACCCCTAATAAAATTCTAAATGTCTGGCATCTCACATCAGTTTTCATTGGAAAACAAGTCACTCATCTGGAAAGAAAAACACTAGTTCCTAAATGTTCTGAAGGGATTTAAACTAAACCTGACCTGAAAAAGTTTCAGTCTGGACAACAACATGGGATGGGATGGGATGCAGTGCAACAAAAAGGCCTAAAATCTTAAAATGAAATGTAAAGCCAGGAGACAGATAGACAGCCCAATCTCACCAGGAGAGGAAAGAACTATTGGGATGGAAATTATTTATTTTATCCTGTGTCTGTGAATAAATGAATCAATGAAAATGCTAAGGGTGAGCTAATACAGCTTTAGTGAAAGTGGCCTGAGTGAGGTGGGGAAAGGAGCTGACTGATGCTGGGCAATTTATATTCAGATCGGGTTAGGGAAGCAGTAAGAAACACGATAAAAATCCCACCTTACTTCTTGCTTAAGGGGTTGTTGGACATTAGATACACGTCCACACCTAATATTTAATATCATTACTCTGGCCAGCCCAAATTACAGGGAATGTTGTAGAGAGGAGGAGCATGAGAAATACATGGACATGAAGGACCAGTTACATTTTGTAACACACTAGGATCACCTTCCTTTCCACTGAAGATAGGTGATTGACTTTCTAATGGTTTTCAAGGTTGCTTGTTGTTTGTTAGTTCTTATCACTTAGTTATACCAGTTCTCAACATTTCCTAACATTTTCACAGTAATATGCTGTCATTTTTTCCCTCGAATAGTTAAGTCTGAAATCTATTGTGCGTATCTGATACTTTAATATTGCTTTATATTTTTATAACCATGGAACAAGACCTTCATCACCCTTTTATCAGACAACTCAGGGGTGTAAACACTGTCCTGCTCACACTTTATAGTAGTTTTGTGGTGCTGCTGGCTTCAACTGAGGATATAGTCGGGTTGTGGAAGGAAGGATCAAGAATTTCAATCCTAGTGACTGGAAAGTTCTTCATCGCAGTACTGGAGAAGAAATTCCAGAACAGAGTCTGTTAGTCAAATGTCGGATTTAGGAGGAATAATGTGGTTTTCATTCCACTCGTGGAACGTTGGTCTGCCTCCTTTTTCTCTCCAGGATATCTGAGTATGTGTGGGACTTTGCCCAACCAGTCTATTTGTATTTAGTATTATGTATTTTGCCAACTTAAAGAAGTGTGGGGGGGGAATCGCACTGCTGACAAAAAATTTGGCTTGCCACCCTTTGTTATCAGTTCTCTTCATAATGTTTATGGACAGGATATTTTGGTGGCAAGTGGCTGAAGGCTTAAGTGGTCTCAGGATCTCATCTCTGCTTTTTGCAGATGATGTGGTTCCATTGACTTCATCAGGGAGATGGAGTTTTTATATCTTCTCTTTTTAATTAATTAAACCTTTAACTGTAGGGTAAAAATAACTCTAATAAAGAAATTAACACCACAAATACAATTTGGCAGCATGAAAACAAACCCAACCACAGGGAAAAGCTAGATGTTTACAAAGTCATCCACTGATATGGACCAGAATACACCAACTATAGCCCTAGCAGACAGTGAAATGGATGTGCGACATCAGGTCAGGAGTCATGAAGTGTTGTTTTTTTCCTGCCCTCTTGTCAGGAAATTGAAGCAGCATAAAGGGATGTCCTGTTCTTCACTGAGCTGGCTGAGCAGGGGCAGCGCTTGAGAGAGGAAATCAAAGCTTTCATGTAGGAGGACACATGTTTCACAACTCACTGAATCAAAGTGGGTCAAAATCTTTTTTTAGTTGACACTATACAGAGGTGTGACATGTTCATTTAGAACATGCGGGGTTCAAACAAACAAGTCAATGTGGCATTTAAGAGTGTAAAAGCGTTCATCATAAAACAGAGATTAGGAACAATGCTGCTCACTAAGAAAAGCCTCAGCATACAAGGTTCCTGCAAAACAAGGAACTGCATTCAGTACATCCACCACCCTCTTCACGTTTAACCCTTGGATGCACAACCTACCAATACCTACACTCTTCCACGAGTGGGGTCAAAAATGACCCCAAATAAAATCAATGCATTTTGCTATAAACTCGGTTGTTATTCTTCAAAATCTTTAAAACGAAGAGTTGTAATATTTTCATATTTGAGGTATTTCTCATAAAACATGTTTGTGACATGAGGCCCTTTGCATTTTTATTTATTTTTTCATTAATTTTAAGAAATTGGAGTTTTTGTACCACTTCTATCACTTTTGTATGCTTGGTCGGCATATACTGCAGAAGCTGGGTCTTCCCTCTGAAAGGCACAAGTTGTTCATCCACTGTAACACAATCACTGAGCATGAATTTCTGCCTGCAGTTGACCAGGAACAGCCCCCATATGGAGCAGAAAGCTGCCACGTGGTTTGTTTTCAGTCGGTAGGCTCTGGTCCTCTTGTCATCAAAGTGCAAGACGGGCGAATATCTTCAAATCTTTGAATTGACATAGTGGCCTTGAACAATGGGCTATGCAGAGGACTCCCAAAAAGCACACCGACTGGTACATCCCAGTTCTTCTCACTTCCTGCAAGAATGGTCAATCAAATGAAGGCCAGCTTATGTTTGATTACATTTTTCCACTCTTTTCCCCTGTCTGTGGCTACTCTTCGTGCCTCCATGTTTGTGCATGTCAGCACCTCTTCTATTATATTATCAGACATGAACATCTTCCATACATCTGTTGGGGAGACGGTACTAAACCCAGGTGCAAGCCCTGGCTGACTAATTCAGAATATTGTGGCTAGAGCAGTAAGAGGAGCTCATTCTGTTGGACTCAATATCCATTTCCTCTTCAGAGGACTCATCAGAGGACTCCTCTGTGTCTGACTGGCCTTGTTCAGTGGGGGGGACGACAATAGTCTGGGTCCTCTATATCTGAGATGTCCGATGTCCGAGTCAATGCCTCCGATGGGCTCTTCATCCCATCCATCCTGGATCATTTGTAGGGCAAGGTCCACAGGGATCCTAGCTGGCCTCATAGCAGCCATGTTACTTTAGATATTTAAAAAAAAAACATCAGAAAGTACAATGTTTGAAATGCACAGAAAACTATAAACAGGGCTGCACATAAATGGTCCGCAGGTGCGCATTCGCTGTCAAAATAAAAGACACGCACCAGATAAGAAGTTGGAACGCTCGTTTGCGTACATAAGATGTTCTGGAGGAGGACAGACATTTGTTCAGAACTCTTAAAGATGTTGAAGAAGCAAGCTCTGTAAGCAATTACTTTGGTGTTCCTCCACCGCAAAAGAAGCGCATATTCTCAGAATTTCTGGGAATACTTTTTTTTTGACAGCCAATGCACACCTGCAGACCACTTATGTGCAGCCCTGGCTATGAATCCTATATGTTACTGTGTAAAAATGAATTCCTGATCCTTTAGAAGTGTAAGTGGGACAGTCAGAGTTGCTAAGAATGAAAGTTTCATAGAAGATTCCATAGGAACTGCTTGGGGTCATTTTTGACCCCACTTGTGGAAGAGTGGGGTAGTGATACAAAAACAGCATTTTCTTTAAATTAATGAAAAAATAAATAAAAATGCAAATGGCATCATGTTACAAACATATTTTATGAGGAATACCTGGAATATGAATATATTACAACTTTTCGTTTTAAAGATTTTGAAGAAAAACAACCCGTGTGCATCTAAGGGTTAAAAGGGTTAACAGCGGAGCACTTTTGACTACAGTCTCATAATGTGTGAAATGGACATTGAAAAACTCATGTTAGACTCTACTGGACTAATCTGTATATGAAAAAATACTCTGATGTTGTCATCTAAAGGCATTTTATCATATCTATTGGTGTTTTTCCTTACTCTTTTGGCAGCTGAATGTGGTGTCTGTATTCATTTTAGATATAAGATTCTTATTCTATCATGTTTATGCTTTGATTTATCCAGCTCTTCTCTTTTAGTCTTTTTTTAACAAATAGAATTACAGCATGTAACAAGTGGGAAGTAGGACTTGAATCTCATTTCTGCCTTCAGGTCTCTTGCAGAGCCTTTCGCCTGATGATGGTAGCCATGAATGAACTGCAGTGCAACACTGACCTGACAGTCAACTTAGTTAGGCACGAGGTAAGCCTGAAATGATAGGACACGTTTCAAAGCTATCAAAACTCTTTAAGTATGAAACACGTCTGTTTGGAAGCACATGTCAAAATGTAATAAGTCACAAGACACACTACTGCTTATCTCCAGACTGATCTGGCTCACTCAGTGTAACTACAATATAACTTGCAGTAGACACTAAAAACATGTAGGACAAAACGTAACTGGAATACTGCATATTGTTAAAAAATATAGTTTTCTTTTCATTTTAAGTGCATTAACACAGGTTAAAACAACTTTCTAGAGCAATTGCTATTTAAAGTGTAAAATATCTGCCACCTTAAAGACACAGGAACACAGCAGCTCCTAATCAATCAACCACTGTACGATCTGTGTAGATGAGAGAGCAGTGACTTATATGTTTCACCAAGTTTAGATGCTGCTTTTAATGCTTGTATTAAATAGAAGTTACCTTTTTGCTTTGGACTCAAATTATAAGTAGCAAATGATATTGCATAATTAATACTGAAGATTTTAAATTCCTAAACAGTGTCAAGCACAATCACGGTTGTTGTAGTACTGTTACTTGAAAGCAATATAATAATTGCAGGGCTCGCAAAATTTCAAAATCCCTGGTAGCCCTTCGGGCAGGGACTCTTCAGTTTTTGGTAGCCCAAAATAAATTTAAGTAGCCCGAATAAAAAAGAGAGCAATTTTTTGATTGATGTTTTGTTTCCTATTTGTTTCCGTTACAATATTATACATTAAAGTATAATATTGTAACGGAAATAAAACATTAATCAAAGAATTGTTGAAACACAAATTTGTATAAAAATTACAATCATCAACTCAAATACTTGGTTCTAATTGAACAGACATCTCTTTGCACTTGTAAGAACTGTGTAGAACATGAATCAGTCTGTGTCAGATTCTGAATTTGAAATTTCCACTGAAGTCACGGGTAAGAGGCAAGTGGAGGTGCCAAGAGGTGGAGGAACACCAAAGTAATTGCTTAAAGGAGCTTGCTTCTTCGACATCTTTAAGAGTTCTAAACAAATGTCTGTCCTCCTCCAGAAAATCTTATGTACGCAAACACGCGTTGCAACTTCTTATCTTGTGCACGTTTTTTATTTTGACAGCGAATGCGCACCTGCGGACCACTTATGTGCACCCCTGGTTATTTAGCTCGTCATATTGCAGCCACAGAAATTCTTTTGTCCATGAAACCATAAAGCTGCACTTTCTTTTTGCCTTATAGTCTGATTTGTCATAACGCTTCTGTTTTGTGGTAAGCTTTTCTTTGGCTGTCACTTCTTCACCCTGACCTGTCTTATTTGGCTCAGCAGAACTAAAATATATATCCTGCTGCTTTTACACACGCACTCACATAACGCTCAGCGATTCTCTGCGCGATCAACCTCTCACATGTTTAAGCTTGCTGCGGGAGATTTCACTTGTCATGTTTGCATAGTAAGCTAACGATTGATAAGACGATGTCAGAGGGATTGGTGCGCAAATTATCATCACTCACCAATCAGTACTGTCGCTCTCAGTTCACAGTTCGCGCGATTGCAAAGTGAAAGCAAAAAACAAGCGCAAATTCAAACGATTTCAATATGTCACATATTGACAGTGGCTCACCGATGCCAATGACATAATTACCCAGCTACATTTCCGAAAGAATGCAAAAGCACTGACATATATTTTGACATATATTTTCAGGGCTCGCGATTTTGCGAGCCCTGAATTGTATTTATTACTCAATAAAATTAGATGCATTGTATATGACAATAAGTACAAATTAAGGAGTAAAGACACATGAGTTGACTTGATGCAAAACAGTTTATAATCAAGTAATGAACAGTAGTTCTCCTAGTTGAAAAATAATATGTGATACTAATAGCTACCACACAGTCTATATCTCCTGTAGACAAATATAGCTGCGTTGAGAGATGTAGTACCTGATATGCCAAAATCAAAGATGGCTAGGTTAACAGTCATGAGCTCAGGAGGCTTTAACTTGGTCTTCCGTTTCATGGTCATATAAATGACATATCCATTCCCTGTTGCAGACATGATTCCTGAAAAAGAGAAAGAAAGACTGCGATCATACCAATTATCCATTAGTTCAGATTCTTTCCCATCATTCTTCATGGTAATCAAGACAGTATTTTTAGTACTTTCCATCAGTTTTGACCAGATGCTCAATACCACTATTTAAACTGCAGGCCCAAATCTTGACAGAGCCTCTGTGTTTCACAAACGGCTAACTAATCTAGCTTGTTAGTTACCCCACAAGTTAGTTTGTGAGTATGATTTTCAACAGAAACACTGAGACTCAAACAATAAGCTTGTTGTTCCTAGTTTTAGAGCCCAAAATTAGACCTAAAACAGAGTGTTCATGTTCATTATTTCAACATGTTCAGAGCAGCAGGACAGGCTAAGTTCTCTCCTGAGAAATGTTATTCCCTCTTGCTTAAATTTTGGATTTTCTTTAATATGAAACTGAAAAAGTCCAAAAAGGTGGCTCACTGTTTGGATTTAAATATTGAAGAATTATGGACTCATTTATTTAAACTTAAATGCATCTACTAAACACATCTACACTGACATGTGCTTTAAAATTGGATCTTGTTTGTAGAAGCAGTTTGCATGCATAGGTTATTTGCATGCAGGTTTATTTAAAAATAAAACAGCGTCTCAAAGGCATTGGGGTATTTCCCAGTGGTCTGAGGGTCATTTCAATCTGCTGTGTGTCAAATTGACCAGTGGATGATACAGCTACAGGAAATGAGTTGGGAACTCAGAACACATTACTCTCTCACACTCTCTGTCTTTGACAGAGACACTCAGTACTTTCTTCCCTATCTATGTCTTGTACAACATTTTCCCAATGATATGGATGATATCACAAGATGAAACAGGAACATGTAGATAAGGTTAAATAAGATAAGCCAAATGCAGCTTTATTCACTCTCTGGAATGCCTATGTATTGATGGAGACATAGCGAGATCAGTTTTCTTCCTTCCTTTCAAACCTTGAAAATAAAGAAATTGACTTGTTTTTGATCTCTTATGCTTTGGATTTTCCAAAATCCTCTCAAATTCTGCCCTAATTCAGTTTGTCAAGTGGCGAGTGATAAGAGGAAAACATTTTTCTTCTTCCACACATCTTTTACCAACACATGCATATCTATAAAACGGTAGCTATATTCCGGTAATCATCATCAGCTATGAATGAACAAGCTTCTGGCCAGTGGCTAATGCATAACCAAACATTGCACAAAAATTGCACTACATATCACTATGCTACAAACCGAACATATCCCAACTTTATATAGTGTGTGAAGCTAAAACATAACGGTTAAAGACGTCAGACAAGCAAACCATACAGTGACCCATGAAGATGTAGAAAAAATAAAATAAAACCTTAAAGCTAAAAATTTAACAAGCAAGTCCTGTAAAGCTAACACATTAGCCATGACAATTTTATAAGAGAATGATAAAAAAAGTTTCAAAATTAACACCAGTTTCAGGACAATGTTGTCAGTTCCTTCTCTCCCTATTTAAAAATTAACACTAAATGTGCCTTCAAATTTGTAGTAAATTGCAAAGGGGTACAATGGCTCAATCTACAGTGGATGTATTTAAATTACTGTTAACTATTTTTTGTTTTGTTTTGTTTTTTAAAGTAAGAACACAAATACAAATACGAACATGCTGTTTTATGATTTGGGAATCAGTGTCACAACCCCGTCAAAACTGCTAAACTTGAATGCCCCATGTGACACTATCACAAAAATCATCTTTGTTTGCTTTGTAAATAGTGGCTGATACTAATATTTTTTCTTTCATACATATCCAAAATAGTTTTTCTCTGTATTTCAAAACTGCATAGGGTGTCTTTGATTCATTCAAATGCAGACATGTGGAAACTGCACCTAATATCTCAATCAACTCTAACCATGTACCCAACTGAGCTTCTATTATAGTCTGCTAGAAAAAAAAGTCACTTTAACTTATCAATAACGCTAATATGATTGCCTGGGTTGTCATAGAAATCCGACAGAACAATCAAATCCAAAAGTCTTTCAAATATTGTTTAACTATTAAAGAAGGCTCATGGTGTCATTAGCCTAGAGGCAGTCATTAACTCTATGTACTATGTACTAATCACCACAAAATCTTGTTTGTGCAGGCTGTTCAACTATTCTGGAAATTGTAACAATAAATATGAAACACATAAAAACGAATATCAAAGAAAACTTTAACAAGAGAAAATATGTTTTACGAGGATTATTTTGACCCAGAGGTTTTTGTTCCTTCTTAGAAAAGCTACTGTAAATAGGAATGTACATAACACCTGGATTCAATATCAGGGCTTTTATCTTCTTAATTTGTCATGGAATGAAAAGGGAACGTGTATCATCTGGTTATGGAACAGTTTGTCAGTCAACATTTACTTTTCAGACCCTAAAAAATGGGGGTTTATGTATAAAAATGGCTGTAAATCCAAAACAGCTAATCCACTGCTCTCTGGATAATATGCATCCTGTGTCATATTTCATTTTAATAAAATCATCAGTATTTTTTAGCTATAGAATAATTGGTAGAAAGCTGGATCCCAGTTAATTATACCAATCATTTAAAGTTCACTACAAGACATACTTATTCTGCCAATAACTCTGCACTGACCTCAGCACAAACAGGCTTGGTTTTGAAAGAATAAACTATGACATAGACCCTTATTTTATCGTAATACATAATTATCTTCATTATGTGATAACCTGAGCCTACTCTGTATTACAAAAACAAAAGCAAGCATTTTGTATCAAAATCCATGTCTGTAATGTAAGCTATATAATTCAAACTTATTTATATAGCTATAGAAGTTACTATATAGCTGTTGTTAAACAGAAATTTAAATCAACTCCAACTCAACTGGCTAGAATGTGGATAAATGCTGGAAGATCATAGTCACAAATTCTGGATTTGCATCTCCAGTAAACTTCTTTGGAAACAAACATCAATTACAGTTGTCAAAAAAATTGATACTCAGAAGTTAAAACTGATAACTCAACGCATCTTTGCCTTCTCCAGCTAACACACAACAACAGACACCACGGCTGTACTTTAAAGCAATGAAATAATCTAAATGATTTGTAAAATGAATACAACCTCTCAATTTAATCTTAAACACTTAATTTGTTAAGTATAATTGGGGTGAACTGGTTGAAAATTAACAAGTTAACTTTCGAGATATGAATTTGTGAATTTGGATAATTGGATACTTTCCAGATGAATCTGTCCCACGGACAAATACCTTTTAAAGATCCTGCTGGCATTCAGCACAAAATTCATCACTAAGGTCTGGTTCCAAAAAGACTAACCTATAAGCACCTAGTTTATTAAAATTGTTAAAAATGGGAGAAAAAAGGTGGGGAAAATGGTGTTGAAACTTTTTTTCTTTTATGAAAAAATGTTTGGGAACCTCCTCCATGACCTCATTCTGTTTTTTTCTTTTTGCCAGTTCTTGGTGTGTGTGTGTGTGTGTGTGTTTTATTTATGAAAATCTAATTTAAAAAAAAAAAAGTAAAAACAAAAAAGAAGAAGAAGAAAACTGTCATTTTCTTAATATTAACCAGGCCTGAATACAATGTCATAATGCAAATCTACTCCTCCACTTAAAAGCTCCACCATTTTAATCAAATGAAAAAGATTCACAAACAGACATTAACTCACTATTTTCATTAATTTTATAATTAATGAAAATAGTGAATCAGAAGAAGTGTCAAAGACGTGCAGAAACCAGAGTTTAGTAACACTCCATCTCCCCACTGAAATGGCAGAGATTGTGTGGGATAAAGCGGCCACCCCGTCAGCTGCTTCCTATTCAGCATGTTGGTTTTGCACACACATTCTGTTCACTGCTGAATAAATCAGATTCATTTATGAGGGTTTATTTATAAGGGCACTTGAAGGAAAAATAATTTAACTAATAGCACAATGAGGAGAGTGTACATGTCCACATTTCCATGTACTCATATGATGCACAGCACCAGGAAAAAATATAATAGCAAAGACAGAGTGCCATGAAGGGGCTGTAAGGGCATTCCTACAAGAATAAAAGGAACAATGGAAAACCACAACAAACAGAACATGAACCCCCACGCTGCCTTTTGCTCTGTCCATCTGTTTCTGTCACCATACATTAAGCCGCTCTATTCTCGGGTATCTCAGTCACATTGTAAGATAGATGAAAATCAAATTAGGCCACCTGTCTTACTGAATTTACAAGCATATACAGTAACTCATCAGTGCCAGGTAAAAAAGATGATCCACTTCTCGTGTTTAAAAAATTTATCTCCAAGATGAAGTAGTGGCCGTGTCTGTTACACAAACTAGATTAAAGGCTACAAAAACAAATGAGTATCTACTATTATAAGCTGCAGAATACAAAGATAAGGCAGACAGCATCTGTGAGAAGAAATATGTGTATGAAAAGAGGACCTTCGTCTTCAAAGTTTCAATAATAATCATGTGGTTAAGGTTATCTAATTATCATTAGTTAAACGGGGACCCTACTTGTTAAGTCAAATATTTTGTTGACCCCAGATTGTCTTTCTAGTTCTCACTTCCTCCTTTGTTCCACTCATAATTACTATTGATAGTATTGATACTATTGTCTTTTGTCATGTCATCCCTCGTGGTTGTGTTTCCTTGTTCTGTGTTCCCACAGTCTACTGATATTCTGAGTCCCTGCCCTGTGTATAATCTGGTTTTCCTGTATTTTTGTGAATGATGGCACTTAAACTGATATTTTGAGTCATACCGGTTTCCCAAGTGGTGCATTTGGGTCCACGACCTGCCTGTCACACAGCCAACACTTGACATGCCACATTAAAGGCAAATTTAAAACCAATGGAAAATTATATTTTCTGAATATGGTACATGGACGACATATCAAACTCACAGCTTCTATAACCCTATAAATTCCTATAAGGAGGGATTTTCTCCTTATTTTGTGTTTTAGCACTGAACTATGGAATATCAAAGGTTTTAAAACCAGTTTTTGGGTAAT